GCCCAGAATTGAATATTAGCTGAATTTGTAAGTCATTTTGTAACTTATTTGTCTTACCATTACATTTTTCCCAAGTTTGAAAATAGAACACTTTTAAAATTCAGATTATATGATGGAACATATATTCTACAGTGAAATGTCAAATTTATTAACATAATATGCAAATATTTAATTACAGTATTGGTGGGTTTGTATTTTATAACTTCTTGTGATATTTAACTGCTGCTATTAATTATGATGATGAAACAAAATTTCTTGGATTTTGAATATTTTTGACTTAAAATATTTGAATTCAGAATAAATTTGACTTATTCACATAAATCTTAGCTCTGAAAAGAATGTTAGAACTCATCTAGTTTTATATACTTTAATATTACCTATTCAGAAACAGAGGCCTAGAAAATTGAGCAACTTTCTCAAACATTTCAGGTGGTCGTAGATTTAGAACTAGTCTTCTGCTCTCAGGTTAGAGTGGTTTCTATTATTAATTTTATGCCTCGTTGTCCTTTAAAAGGTTCGTAGCTATGTGACAGTATTTCTACAAAAATACGATTTTCTTCTTGCTTAAAGAAACATTAGTGACACTGAAATCACAGAAACACTCCCATTACCTAAAATAGTTCTTGAAATATTCTATGGGCATATATTCTATATCTTGTTCATTCAATTAGATAGTATAGTTCTAGCAGTTCTCAGGAAAGGTAAAGTTTGGAATGTAAACTGGACCCTCAGTGGAACTTCCTTGGAGTTGAACCTGAAGGAAACAACACATACAAGTTTCCTGGGCAAATTTCCAGCCGTGTAGCACATCAAAGATCACTACGTCTAGTCAAGTGGTTCAAAAAGAAAGAACGCAAGAGACTTCTGGAATTCTTTTCTATTTAGATTCTAAACATTCGTGAAAGGAGGCTTGCTTCAATATTTTCCTTAATTTAATATGAGGAAATTCACAGTTTGCTCTGGCCTCTTAATTCTTTTTAAGTGAAACGAAATTCTTTGTGCAGAGAAAGAATAAGAATGCTGATAGGCGAATGAGACAGAGGTATGTATACACACAATTACATATGTTATCATAATGTGTATATATTACATATCACAATCAAATAAGCAATGCAGTGATATTTCTAAAGACACAGAAGTATCTACAGTGAGAAGTCATCCTCCCATTCACTCCTGTCTGCCTAGCCAGAGATCCTTTCTCCAGAAACAACCACTTTAAACAGTTTCTTGTATAGCTTTCCGGACATAATCTACTTATATTTAAATAATTATGTAAATATTCATTAAAACCCACAAATACTATATGCACTGTCCTGCAACTGTTTTTTTTTTTAAAACATTTAGAATCTATTTTGAAGTTTGTTTTGTATCAGCACATGTAGAGCTGCTTCATTCATTTTTGTGGCTGCATAGTATTAGTATTCCATTATGGAATATAATGTTTAATATTACATTCCATCACACAAAATAGAATTAATATTATATTAATATCAATTGATTTAATTTTAGCATATTTATGATGTTTGTTAATGGTATATTAATACTTAACCAGTCTTGTATTTTATTTTCTTTCCATCTTTTGCTCTTTGAAACCATACTGGTCGGGCGTGGTGGCTCATGCCTGTAATCCCAGCACTTTGGGAGGCCAAGGTGGGCAGATCACCTGAGGTCTGGGGTTTAAGACCAGCCTGGTCAACATGGTGAAACCCCATCTGTACTAAAAATACAAAAATTAGCTGGACATGGTGGTGTATGCCTATAATCCCAGCTACTCAGGAGGCTGAGGCAGGAGAATTTCTTGAACTCAGAAGGCAGAGGCTGTAGTGAGCTGAGATCACACTACTGCACGCCAGCCTGGGCGACAGAATGAGGCTCTATCTCAAAAAAAAAAAAAAAAGAAAAAAAAAGGAACCATGCTAAAAAAATAGGTCATTTGCATATGTATAAGAATATCTGTAGATAAGAAAGACTGCTAGGTTAAAGTGTATGTGCATTTGTAATATTTACAGATATTACCGAAAAATATCCTTCATTCACATCACCATGGCCTCAATATTACAATGTGTTTATCAGATTTTTTTATATTCACCATTCTAATAGATGAAAAATACTATCCCATGTAGTTGTAATTTGTGTCACTCTAATTTGAGTGTGGTTGATCCTTTTTTCATATGCTTAAGAGCCATTTGTATATCATTTTCTGTGAGCCATCTGTTCATATCTCTTTTTTTTTTCTTGTTTACGATTTGTCTTATTTCTGTCAACTGTAGAAACTCTGTGTATAAAAAATTTGCCTATTGGGTTTATGAATTGTAGAACTTTCCATCCTCCCCCATTCCTTGATTGTCATAAATGTGTATGGTGAAGATTTTGATTTAAAAATGCCATACTTTTGTGTGTGTGTTGAATTTGGCACTCTCGCTTTATACTATTCATACAAAGCCTTCCCCATTCTGAGATCACAAACACAACCCATGCTGTCCTGGTGCTGTTACGGCTTTTCACAGTAGATCTCTCATTCATCTAGACTTTATTGAGATAAAAGGTGCGAGATAGGTAGTCATGTTTTTTTTTTGTTTGTTCGTATTAGGTGGCTATTCAGTTTTCTCAAACTATTGGCCTTGTGTCTTTTCCCTGTTGATTTGAAATGCCACCTTTATTACATACTTCAGTGGTCCCCAACCTGTTTGGCACCAGGGACCGGTTTTGTGGAAGACAGTTTTTCCCCAGGCCAGAGTGGGGGATGGTTTCGGGATAACTCAAGTGTATTACTTCATTGTGCACTTTATTTCTGTTGTTACTACATTGTAATATATAATGAAATAATTATATAACTCACCATAATATAGAATCAATGGCAGCCCTGACCTTGTTTTCCTGCTCTAGACGGTCCCATGTGAGGGGGATGGGAGACAGTGACAGATCATCAGGCATTAGATTCTAACAAAGAGCACGCAACCTAGGTCTCTTGCATGCACAGTTCACAGTAGGGTTCGTGCTCCTATGAGAATCAATGCCCGAGATGATCTGACAGGAGGCGGACCTCAGGCGGTAATGTGAGCAGTGGGGAGTGGCTGTAAATACATATGAAGTTTCACTTGCCAGCCTGATGCTCACCTTCTGCTGTGCAGACCTCTACCAGTCAGGTCCATGGCCTTGATTTCCATATGTATGTCTCTTGACCCATTTCCCATCTTAGTAATTCATGCTATTGACCTTCCCATCTATCCACCACATTGCTTTATGATGTGTTTTTAGTATCCAGGAGAGTTCATCCTCTCAGGGCTCTTTGTTGAGAAATACTTTACTATTTTCACATTATTTTACCGTGAGGTCTTTAGAATCAACTTGTATAATAACCCCAACAAATTTTTTTAAATTCTGGAAGTATTTTTTTGTTTAAATTGGAAGTGCCTTAAATTATACAGATATAATTAATTGTCATCACCTGTTAAAATTTTGCCTTAGTAGCATTTTAAAGTTTTCGTCATATAAATTTTGCATATTCCTTAAGATTTGCTGGGGATTTTGCCCTTTTGCTATTATCATAAATTATATGTCTTCTTTTGTGTCATTTTGCTGGTGTGTGTAAAATATATAAAATATCCCTTAATAAGGTTGTTTAAAAATAAATATTGTATTCTACCAAATGCCTTTTACATATCCTTGAAGATGATCATGTACTATTTTACTTTGGTCTGTTTATAAGGTGAATTGTTTTGATAGTATAAGATCTTTGTATTCCCTATGCTCCCATAAAAAAGGATGATTTCATGTCCTTTGCAGGGACATGGATGAAGCTGGAAACCATCATTCTCAAAATTATTCCTTAAAAGTTTGTTAGAATTGTCCCTCTGAAGCTAACTAGTCCTGATTTTGCTTATTTGTGTATTTATTTATTGGAGGGAAGGTGGCTCTTTAACATCTATTTAATCTGTGATATTGACATATTTACATTTTCTGTGTTTTCTTTGGCTAAGGTATGGTTCCTTAAGTATATGTTATATATTTACTGATAATCTTCAGTTACTGTTTGAGTCCCTCCTGATACAGGGTGAGGTTATCTATTATTGTTGAGTTGTTTTCAAAAGTGGTGGTTCTTATATTCTGTGTTTTATGGAATTTGACAGTCACATCTCCCATTCATTTTGATATTAAGATATTAAAGACTATTTAGATATTAAGATATTAAGGACTATTGCATAATTTTATCATTGGGATGGTAATACTGTAGGCCATACTGTATGATTACACTGTTCTGAGGACTATGATTGCTTTCTTTGGTACATTTGCCCAGTGGTGTCCAGTTTTACTGCTGATTGTGCTTCATAGAATCAGTTCTTAATAGACACAATTTATCTCAGTCTTATATATTATAAGCTCTCGGTAATTCTAGTGAATAAAATACTTGGTTATTGTCTGTTATGTGTTCATTTGTAAAGAATGTAAAAGACATGTTCCTATAAAAATTAGCCAGGCGTGGTGGTGCGTGCCTGTAGTCCCAGCTACTCGGGAGGCTGGGGTGGGAGGATCACCTGAGCCCGGGAGGTTGAGATTGCAGTGAGCTGAAATCGTGCTGCTGCAGTCCGGTACAGGCAACCAAGTGAGATCCTGTCTCAAAAAAAAAAAAAAAAGCAAACTTGAATTAATAATTTTGGTAAATATGTATGTATTCAGATATGTTAAAGGATAGCATTTTACATACTTGTCTGGTAGAATTAGTTGGAAATAAAATAATTTTTAGATACAGTAAAAAGTTCTTTAGAGAGCTAAAAAGTTTTAACGGCATTTTTGCTTTTCCAAATCCCATGTGTTCCAGAATTTGTCAAGGAAATAGAAAAAGGAAATAGAAATCACAATGCTGTAGTAACAGAGGTGCAAAAAAAATGATAATGTTGGTCAAAACGTATAATGTTAAGAAAAACAGTGTTTGTGGTTAATAAAAGTATATTGATTTTGTTCAAATTTTATTGAGAAAATATTCTCTCCTTTTCTCATAGATTTATCTAAAAACAGACTGGTTGAAGTTCCAATGGAATTGTGCCATTTTGTATCACTGGAAATTCTTAATCTGTATCACAACTGTATCAGAGTCATTCCTGAAGCCATCGTTAATCTCCAGATGCTGACTTACCTGAACTTGAGGTAGGTTAAACATAAAAGTTGTAATCAAATTCAATGAAAGAAATAAAAAACTTATGCTTTCATTTCTATCCATTTTTTTCACTCTTTGCAATTCTTGATTTTTCTTTGATGTAGATCCCACAAAGATGTTTTAAGTAATAACTTTTCTAATAAATTTGTAATGTTGTTAATACTGCTCTTGGTGCAAGACTTCCCTGAATGTCAATATGACAAGGGTTTTTTTAAAAAAATGATTTATATCATTTATTCTCTTTGTCTACTTGGTATTTGTAAGGTTGTAATTATGTTGTCTTCAAGTATTCATGTAGATTTTGGAGGAGGAAGTATAAGGGAAGTGAAAAAGAGTTTGGTTGTCGGGACAGACAAGGATCAAAAAAAAAAAAAAAAAAAAAAGAGAGCCTGGGTGAGCTTTGGCAATTATTGATAACATTGGGCCTTGCTACCTAGTACTAATTGAGCTCATTCACTTTAAGCCTTCTTAAGAAAGTTGAGGAGCACTGAACAACTGTAGCCAGATACGAAGTTTGCTATCTATCTTTCCATCCCACTAACTTAGGTCAGTGTTTGCTGAGCATGGTTTAGTAATGTGCATTGATTGATTATGTACAACACGGTATCATGTATTAATGCCCCTGAGTAGCTCTGATGTTAAGAAAATCAGTTATTTTAAGGCCTTGGTTTTAGACTTTGCAGCTAGGTGCTCTGGTCAAATTCTAAATCCTTTCCCCATATCTGAGATGTCAGGAGAGGGAGGGAAGCTGTTTTATCAAATCTATCTTTACCGTGAATACAAGATCCCCAATTGCAAGCCTGAATGTAACCTTTTCTCATGTCAGTTGTGTCATGTTGGTGTGCAAAGGGGAGAAAGGCTTGTGTTGAGTAACAGATATACCCGACATCAAACTTCAGAAAGTTCAATGAACCAGGTATAATGCCAGTGGTTTTTTAGTTTTGATTTAGTTTTGATTGTTGTTTTGATTTAGTTGGCTACCAAAAATTACTGGTTTTCTCTTGTTTTCCTTGAAGTCAAAAATGAGTTTCTGGCTGGGTGCGGTGGCTCCCGCCTGTAATCCCACCACTTTGGGAGGCTGAGACGGGTGGATCACCTGAGGTCAGGAGTTTGAGACCAGCCTGGCCAACATGGTGGAACCGCATCTCTACTAAAAATACAAAATTAGCTGGACGTGGTGGCGCATGCCTGTAATCCCAACTATTCAGGAGGCTGAGGCAGGAGAATCGCTTGAACCTGGGAGGTGGAGGTTGCAGTGAGCAGAGATTGTGCCATTACACTCCAGCCTAGGAGACAAGAGCAAAACTCCATGTCAAAAAAAATAAAATAAAATAAAATAAAGAGTTTCCGTTGCATTTCTGTAGAAGTGCTTTTTTTTTGAGATGGAGTCTCACACTCTGCTACCCAGGCTGGAGTGCAGTGGTGTGATCTTGGCTCACTGCAAGCTCCGCCTCCCAGGTTCACACCATTCTCCTGCCTCAGCCTCCCAAGTAGCTGGGACTATAGGTGCCCACCACCACGTCTGCTAATTTTTTGTATTTTTAGTAGAGACAGGGTTTCACCGTGTTGGCCAGGATGGTCTCGATCTCCTGACCTCATGATCTGCCTGCCTTGGCCTCCCAAAGTGCTGGGATTACAGATGTGAGCCACCATGCCTGGCCAAGTGCGTTTGTTTTTTTATCAGGGTTGAAAAAAATCCTAGCAGTTTTTTAAGTAGCCTTAACTTCTTTTTGGTAAATAAGGTGTAGGTTACTGTTAGGATCGTCTGGAGGCTCATGTATCTAATCTTCACTTCTGCAGATTTCTGACTTATCTGACCATTTTGAATTTTCTTGCTGTTTCTGACATAGTAGGGTGTTAATAACCTTGGAATTTCCTGGTGCAGCAAGCATAGGTGTCTATAGAATTTGCATCAGTATCTCCCTAAGACATCTGTACTCTAATTCCAACATATACAGGGGAAAGCATGTGTAGTTCACTTACCTACTCCTGTCCTGCTGTGACATTTTCACTGCTGGTAGTCCTGGATGCAGTAAGTCTATATATTTAACTTTGCATTGTTGTATTTAGTCCATGTTCATTGAGAAACTTTTGGGTATAGGTGACATTTTACTTTTACGATGATAGGGATTTTAAAATGCTAATCATACCAGATAATGTAATCTTAAAATGTATATTATATTTTTAGAACATTAGTAAAATGGTTTTGGTTTCCATGTCACACCTAGTTGAGAAGAGATTATTGCTGTCTTCAAATGGGTAGGAAGTATATATTGGAGTATGGATCCGAGGATGTTTTAAGGCAAAGATGGAGAATTCATTGAAACTGATGATGGCTGAAGAGGACCATGTGGTATGTTATAAGCAGTGTTTTGTGATGAATTCCTGGTAATGGAAAGGAAAAAGAATATAGAAAGAGGCTGTTAAGCATCTAACTCTTTAAATATTGTTTTCAGTCTGTAATTTTTAGCTTCATGGTTGTATCTGTTTTCTTCAACGTACGTGGGTCATTCTGTTTTTGTTCTGTTTTTCTTTGTCCACTTCTGCTACTTTTAATAATACCATGTCTGAGACCTGTTCTCCCGTATTGAATCATGTGCTCTTTGAAGGAATTTGACAAATAGAGAAAATATGAGAAAAAGCTTACCTCTCTGAGGTATTGTATAAAGATAAAAGAAAAATGTGTGGCTATCCTCTAAACTTTTTGAAAGCCAGATACTATATATACATACATATATACACACACACACACACACAAAATTATTTTTAAAACTTCCTATAAATTTATTACATGAGTATAAATGTATGACATAAAGTAGTATGCCGGGCGCGGTGGCTCATGCCTGTAATCCCAGCACTTTGGGAGGCCGAGGCAGGCAGATCCCTTGAGCCCAGGAGTTCAAGACCAGCCTGGGCAACATGTTGAAACCCCATCTCTACTAAAAAAAACCACAAAAATAAGCCGGGTGTGCTGGCGTGCGCATGTAGTCCCAGCTACTCGGGAGGCTGAGGTGAGAGGGTCTGGGAGGTTGAAGCTGCAGTGAGCCATGATTGTGCTACTGCATTCCAGCCTGGGCAACAGAATGAGACTTTATCTCGAAATAAATAAATAAATAAATAAAATAAAAATATTAATGAGAATAATCTTTAAAGTAATCAAGAAGCTGGTCCTCTTGTGTTACTCAATTATAAGGCCTTTAATTCCTATTTGATTATTGGGTATAGTTGAAACATGTCTTCTAGGAATTGGACCCTTGAAATTGAGATATTTATCAGTTTGGGAGTGATTTGATGTTGAATGCAATATAGCTTTTTCCTAAAAGATTTATTAGTATCTGTGAAACACAGTGACTGCCACATTTGTTTACTTCCAAATACGTAGTTGTATCTAGAAAATACCAGTGTCATCTAATAAAATTGTTTTGAAGTCTTCTCAGATGTTGAGTAGTATCATCCACATGATAGTGTTGTCCGTGTGAGTTCTTCCTGTCCACAGACTACCACCCCACTCCCAGCCATCCCCAAGCCTGGTAAGCAGGAGGAACGCAGAATATCGTGCCTGTGTATGATCACGACGTGATGTCTCCTCCACAACAACCGGGGTTAGCCACTGTGGCCTTTTCATGTCTTTTCTGCTCCTCCTGGATATTATTAAGTTAGCAAAATAAAATGTATATTTGTTGGGTATGGTGAAGGGACGCAGTGGACTTCGTTGACTTTTGGCCTTTGGGGAGAGACTGCCAATCCCCTCACTTGAAAAGTACGCAGAGACTTAGGATGCTGTAAACACACTGCTTTGTAGAAGAGCTAATCTAGTGTTTTTTTTCTGCAGTAGTTATAAATGGGATAGCATGCCAAAAAAAAAAAAAAAACTTATATATCCAAGAAAGAAATATATAATCAATGCAGGACATTATCATTAATTTTGATGTATGGGGAAGTCGGTGTGAATTTCTTGAAATTAAATAAACTGTAAATTACTTTTGAGCTCACCCTTAAGGTAGACGATATCAAGTATAGTATGATCTGAAAGAGCTTTAACAAATAGGCAAGTTTGTCTGATTTTATAAACAAGTACCCTAAAATACTTTCTTTTCTGTAACACTTAGAAATTTTCTTCTTATATCTATTAACTGAGAAGAAAGACTTGTTAGATAAAATAGTGCAAAGAAGCTGCTTTTCAAACTTTCACAGATTTTGTCTGTCTATACTTAAAATCAACATGACCTCACTCTATTTAGATTTTTTTCTCCTCTCAGTAAATTACCTGTAGAAATTACTAATTTTGTATATTCCAAAGTAGGAGAGATGCCATATGAAGCTACTTTGAATTCATGGGAACCTTTCAAAATTGATTACACCCTCTGGAGTATATTGTGTATTTCAGCTGAGTAAACAGCCATAAATATTTGATGGTGATGATGATGATGATGGTGGTGGTGGTGGCGGTGTTGGTGATATGTCACTGCCTAACCAGCTTTTTGGCTCATAGGTTGTCTTTAAATGTCAAAAGGCCACTTGGTGCCAACAACCTCTAGTCCCAAACTAGAGATAAATTTAGTTAGCACATGAAAAAAATCCTTACTCTGAAGTGCAGTTAAAAACACTTACATATTTTTCACATTTTCTCACGTGACAGAAATGTTATGTTTGTGGAAAATATTAATTTATTGCTGTTTATGTAGCCTGTGTTTGAAGGATCTGGGCTTTTAATCTTTGCCTCTTGGTGTTCACAACAAAAGGTTATGTTAGTTTAGTATATGTGCCACTGTGTCTTTTCCTGTTATAAAGTATCTTAATCCAAGAAATGTGGCCAAGAACAATAAAAATGATTAAGCAAGACTTGTTCCTATAGAGGAACCAACACTTTGAACCTGAATTACACAGGAAAGCCTCACAAAGTTAAAAATCTATTTTAAGATGCTGGAGAGGTGGTTGTTGATGAGCCTCATGAAGAAAATGTACCGTAGGAAAATAAAATAACCCAGAC